GTTGTGGGAGGGGAAATAAATTCCAAAAATGCCCCCCCCCCCCCCCCCTTCCAACTGGCTGGCTGATTTGGTGGCTTGTTATTGTACTTCTGTTTAGATTTTGGCTTTTACTTGAGACATTGCTAGTTCTTGGAATAGTATTTTATACATGCTTCGGAGCTGAGGAATTTTTCCATTAACATTTTGTTTTAGCTCGTTTCTGAAATAAGATTTTGACCACATAGATTTTGTGCGAGGAGGAGAGAGCGCAAGCTTTGTAAGACCAAACTAAGCTATAGTCCTCAATGTTGTGCTTAAACAAATCATTCAGTGAATCCTGCTCATTTTGTGTCTCTGTGCTTTACTTAAAACAAAAGCCTCATTTTTCATAACAGTACAATAGATGGGCTTCATGAGTCTTCAGCTGTGTGACTGCAGTTTTAATTAGTTCCATCAGGACAAACAGGCATTAGGGTAACTGCTCTTCTTAAATTGTATGTTACAATTTATCTCCTTTGGTCAACAGGGGAGTTACTAACCTTGAAGGCATGGATCATTCTGTGCTCAGAGGGGAGATGTCAGCAGTGCTTCACGACAGGTACGTTTTATGAAAGTAGCTGAACTCATGCAGTTTTCTCAGTGCTTGTTTCGGGGACGGTTGTCACTTTCTCAACCTGAAAACTCACTTTTTTTTCCTTCCTGGAAAACTGAAGTTCTTAAAACCAATACACATTTTATGAAATAAAGCACAAGCTGTAATATTGATTCATTTTGTGAGCTGCTTTGTTCCTCAAACACAGTGCATGTGACTTTCCTGAAATAAAAACCTTGCAATTCTGTGAGTGAAAAAACTAAAAGTCAGTCAAGTTCCTTAATCTGTATCATTTAACCTACTAGTTTTACATCTGCCTTTTGGATACCTACACACTAGTGTCTTTATAGCTGCTCACCTGGTAGGAAGTTGCTATCAGTCCATTTATAATTATTGCTCGATTGTTACTGACCTGGCCAGAGAGGAATTCAGATAGTCTTAAAATACAAATGTTGTGAATTCTTCTGTCTTGTTTTGCTTTTAATTTCACAGGTTTGTTGCCCCACACCCTATGTTCATCTTTGCAGTACTAGAAGGGGAGAAACTCTAGATAATATTCTAGCAGCCTCTTTTCAGTTGTTCCTCCCATTTATTGAGGCTGAACACTTTTGAACCAGTCTGACTTTTTCTAACATGTACCTTGTTTATTCTCCAATGCAGTTCCAGTTCATTGCTGTTAATTTATGCTCAGCCTTGTTGTTTTATCTGTCTTTCCTGATCGTTTCATTTACTTCGGTGTTGTACCTTTCTGTACAGTATCTTGTGTAAGAGAGAAGCACTAGATTTTTCAGTCTTCATTGTAGCTGGATGAAGTATGGGGGGGACATTAATCCTTTGTGTTTCAGTAACCGTCATTAAGAAGCGAAGATGTTAGTTGTCTAAGTTAAATTTTCTATGAAGCTAATGATTGCAGCAGAATTTCCCAGCATTTGCTTTAGGGGGCTTAGTGTTGCTAAGTCATCCACACAACTTAGTGTGTTGAACCCTGTATTCAGTTTCATTTTAATAGGGAAGTTCGTAGTTCTTGTTTGACCTGTGCCTGGGCAAATGATAACTAATAATGACTTTGTCACCTCTTCTTTGTGTTGCTGGATGGCATTTTAAGCTGCTTGGGTGCAATTTATGCGTATAGTGTACCTGACAACATTAGAGTGTAGTTTCCTTTGTGGATACTTGTCGCTGTCATTCGTTCAGGTCACAAGTTCAACCACAACCCAAATTATTATAGTATTTCTCCTTAGCTTTCCCTCACCATATATGGTAAGATTCAGATTTATCCGGAGGAATAGATCACACATGCAAGCTTCAGGCATTGATTTAAATTCATTTTCTTTTACTCTGAAAGTGATGGTTGCAATAAATAAACTTGCATCTTTATTATCCAGTTACTTTTGCCCCTTCTTCTGCTTCTATGACCTATGCTTTGATTGATTTCTTGGTATTCTAGTATCCATAGAAAGCTTTGTTATCAAGACAGCTCATGGAACACAGTTAAATGATTGCAGCACATTTTGGCAATAGCATAAATTTCTGTCTTGCAGGGTCATTAATATTCTGCTTTCCCACTCCAGTGGAGTTTTTCACTAATATACTTGATCTTGACTTTGAACATTTGCATTTTGAAGTGAACAGAGGTAGTTCCTATTCTGCTGCTTCAACTCTTTTGCTTCCCTTACTACCCTGGGCGCAGGCACAAATCTCACGTTTCATCCTTGCGCCTGAGTGAAATTCATACACTGACTTCTGTTAATCAGATCACCTGTTAATCATATTTATCAGCAGCTTTTGCATTTAAAAAAGAAACAGCTACTTAGTCAAATCATCATAGGAATGGCTAAAAACAAATGTGAGAAAACCGTTCATAGACAATTATGTTATGAGCTACCTAACTTTCAGATTCTAGTAAATCAAGCTTTACCTCCTCAATACCAAGCGCTTTCTTCTCCAGTATTCAGTTTGCTTGCTAACATCTTCATTTGCAGAATAGCAATGACTGCTCATTTTCTTTCCTTTCTCCCTAGTCAGTGTTGCATAGTTCTTTTCTTATCGTCTTGATGTGTCCCTTTTAACTTTTGTAGGACAACTGCTTTTTGTTAAAGAGGAGAAACTTATCAAACCTTGCAATGGTATTGGTTAAACAAGAAAGTTAAGTTAGGAACATAAACTGAAAAAAACCTGATTGACTGTCTTTTGGGGAAGGAGGGAAGAAAACTGGCTGCTTCATACCCTGTATCAGGGGTTGGCAATCTACATCCCATGGGCCAGATTAAGGTTGCAGAGCAGGGGCCTGAGCAGAAAGGGGGCTTTGCCTGTGCTGTGCTGTGGTCAATGGCAGGGAGAGGTGGTAGCAGCAGCTGGGTCCTAGCCCTGGCCTAACTTGGACTCAGCCCAGCCTACCACCAGAAAACATTGCTGACCCCTGCCCTGTAGGGATTTGTATGAGGGTGTGAATTATTTATTCAGGGCGTCACAGTTACTTTATCATTTCCCAGCATTAACCAGAACTAACCAAACAGGTTTTGGTAAGTGACCTGTTTCTTCATCCTAAGGCTTGGACTTGAGAATCGCTATAGGAAGTCCAGGTCTGCACTAGAGAGATCTTTAAATCTGCCAATTGCCTAACTCCAAATTTAGGTTTTATTAGTCTGTTTCTCTCTTTGTTTCTGCTTTTTCTAAAAACAAAATTCATTATGATGATTGCAGACGCTGACAGCATTTAGGATCTCATTATCTTTCATATAGTTCTGCTTCATTTACTTGCGGTGCTTACAGTTCAGTGTGTTATCAGCTGTGTTTGTGGAAAATTTTCTTCATTTAGGTATAAATGTTCCGTGCATTATTTGTGCAAGAGTATGATGACACTTTCTTTCCTTTTTTCTAGATTCCCAAAGAATTAGTGGTGAATCCGCAGGAGACTTTTTGAGGTTGGCTAGTCACACTAATGCTGTTTCCATCCTAATGGATTTTGTTTGTATGACGAAACAGAAAACAGTGCTGCTTTGATAGCCAAGTTTATATGCATACCATATACCCTGTACCTGAATTATTTTGGCTCGAAGGAAGGTGGAGAGCTCTAAATAGAAAATACCCTCTTAGTACTCAAAAGCTAATTTTGTTTCAGTTTGGTTCAGATGTAATTCCAGGTTTCATTGCACCTGAACTCCCTGTCTAGCTGAAGTCTGTTGAGGTCAGCCAGCAGTCTGAATGCAGTCTGGATAGAGATTACACACTGGTTCCCCAGAGAGCCCTGTACACCTCAGCATGTGAAATTTGTGTTACTCAGTCCTTGCTGGTTATCAAAATTCTCTTAAATATTTTATGACTAAAATTAAACTAAAAAAATGCATCAAGAGTTTGGACGGTGATTTTGCTGCGTGTCTGTTAGCCTTTTTCCCCTCAGGGGAAAAGTCTGTTGCCCAGTATCAGTGCTTTGTCAGTGAAGGCTAGTGCACGTCCTCATCTTTCAAACAATAGTGTTGACAATTGCAAAGATCCTGCTGGCTCTTTCCATAGTGTAGGGCTCAAATTGTCAGAGCAATTTCTGCTGAAAACAAATATGGCTGTGCAGCTGAACTTGCCAATTGCTCCGACTCCGTTGACATGGTGCTTGTATTGTAATGCAATCAAACGCAGCTTGTTCTTTTTATTTTCCCTTTTGTTCTCCTATTGTGACCGTCTTGTCTCACCCGCTTGAATTTGCATTGCTTGTTACGGTTGGTATATTTACTCCATGACAAAGTGGGAAATGTCTATAGTGTCCCATCTCAGTATTGTATGTGACTGTCCTTTCAATCTGCTGCTGCTGTCTAGTTGTATGCCTAGTGGTAAGACTAATGTAAAAAGGGCCTATTAAAGAATTGAGTAGAAAGGTAAATCAGTGGCAGGTAAGTCAGAGTTAAGAGTCCTGTGGGTGGTACTGTTCAGGGTAGAACAGGATGCTCTTTGCAAAGCTGGTCTGCAGTGAAAGGTGACTGAAAGGTCCAGAGACCCTAAGAGGGGTAGCTCAGTTGAGAGGGAGGGAGGCCGAGTTGACATTCTCAGGGACTGACAGACTTGTCATAAACAGGACAGGCTGTTCCTTCCAGCTCACATGGCGAGTTAGCTCATGAGGGTCCAGCTTTGTATAGAGAGGATTAAGCTTAGGTAAGGAACAAGCATGTCGGGGTTTTTACCTTGGTGCTTCCTGCTTTGGACTCTTTTTGGGTAAGAATACACAATGCTTTGAAATCATTGGAGTTACTGTGCTTGCCTAGTTTCAGCCATGCAAAGGGATGCTCTTGTGGGCTACAAACTCAGCTAGCATCCAGGAAGGCTGGAATCCAGGACCTGGCCCTTAGTGTTCTCCTAGGGTATAATTTTAGGAGAGTAAAGGCCAGAGGCATAACGTATTGGGTATACTTGGTGAGATGGACAGCAGTGCAGCTAACCCAGTAAGCATGACACCGTGTTTATGTGCATGCAAATAAGGCTTGTTGGTATTTACAACAAAAATACCATGTATTTACCAATTAATTAAAGCCAATTAATATTCCAGTTAAAAATCTGTATTTGATTTATGTAGGCCAAAATCTGTTTTAGTTTGTTCCTGTATCTGCTGCATAGCCTGCAGTCATTAACAAATGTTCTGTTATTTACTATAGCCAACTTCATTAGTGATCATTGCCAAGTTGTATTTTATCCCCTCCTTGCCCCCACATCAAGAAATCCTTGTAGTGTACAGCTTAGTCTGAGTTAGCAAACAGTTGATCAGCTAAAGAACTACTGAAATAAAAGCGGTTGTATTTTTGCAAAAGTAAAAGCAGCATGTTTTTCTTAAATTCTCCCTGTATTCTGTTTATGGGATTGATAAACAAAATGTGTTCTCATTTTTTTAGACCTAGAAATAATCTTTTTGAAGTAACTTTTGAACCATGATTTATGGCCTGAGATGGAGTTGAGGGTGGAATAAATATTGATATTGACCCATTTGTGAAGAGGGTGGGGAAAACTGTCTCTGAATGGATCGGATTCATTTTCTTTCTTCCTTCCCTGGCTAGAATACAATAACCTAATTTTTAAAATAAATTATAACTTTCCATATGGTGCAAATTAAAGTTTATTATGGACTTCCTTTAAAAGCTAGCACAAAAGCTTTCCACAGAAGTTGTTCCTTTATTAGAAAGATACTTGTATCATATGGAATACATTAAAGTGTGGGTCTTTTTCTTTCTTTATGCTTGCATTGTTCTATAAATATCCTTCTGTTGAATCCATTGTTTGTAGAACGCTTCCCAGATGTCTGTGATTCATATTGTAGTTCGCTAGGATGTGGATATGGAATAGGGCATGTCTTAAACTAGAGGATGACTGCACAGAATCCATCATATAAAAATCAGTGCTGAAAATGCAGGACAGGTTGTCTCTGAATATATGCAGGAATATCGAATGTTGAACATAAGAAACCAAAGCAACTAAAATGACCAGGAGGAACCTGCAGGGACAGCGGGGATACTATTTCATGGGGGATCAACCTCAGTAATAGGGTGTTGTCATTTCTTTCCTACCTTAGTGAGCACCAGTCTCATAAATTGGTTTTCAGTGTGAGATGTAGTTGTATTCAGAAACCAGTAAATTGATTTTGATTGCAACACCCAGTGCTGCGATCTGATGATGCGGGTGATGCTGCACTGCCCTTGGAAACATGGCTTGAACATCTCCTGCCACAGTGTGCGTCTTTTCTAAGCTTGCATCATGTCCAGATTTAAGGGGGTAAAGAAGTGGTTCTGTAGCTTGGGACACCAGTGGGTTCCTGTTCTACTTCTTTATTGTTCTGCATCAGGGCCCTCTAGCAGGCTGAGTAATTGGACCATAGCTGACAGTCAGGGATACTGAGATGGTATTAGCAGGGGATCTGTGTGAGGTCCTTGTTGCACAGTAATTTTTGGCAGCTCCTGGAGCTCTTAACCCCTGGATTGTCCACATTAACACCATAAAGTAGTTCTAAGCATTTGTGATGCGGCTCAAAGTTGCGGCACTTCAGGGCACGATTATATCTGATCCGCATCACCCAGTTCCTGTTCCATTAAGGTGTGGCCATCTCTCACAGATGTGCTGTCCAGGTTGAAGTCCTCCAGTGTCCCAGAGTCTCTCCTACCCTTGCCCATGGAGTAGGGATAGAAGCCTGTCTTGGCTCAGCAGCCCTCGAATTGCAGCTCATAGCTGTAGCTCCTGGTCTGCTCCTGCTCACCAGGCCTCTAGCAGCAACTCACAGCTGTGCTGTGGGGGACAGTCGGAGAAGATTTCTAGACTAAGGGCATTTATATACGTGCTCCAGGAGTGCAGGGTAGGCAGAGGGGGTGCTTTAATTAGAATGCATCTGAGCACTGCACTAATTAAAGCACCCAGAGTATTTCCTGCATCAGCATTCCCACGCTTAGAAGTGGCAGTGTGGGTGCTTTAATTAAAGCTCATCATTTAACTCATTCAATGAGTTTAGTTAAAACACCCCCGCCACCATCTTTAAGTGCAGGGATGCTGATACACAAGATGCTGGGGTCTGCTGGAGCATGATAATTACCACGGGGATGTAATAAAAAGCCTTCAACTACCTGAAGGGGGGTTCAAAGAGGATGGAGCTGGACTGTTTTCAGCATGGCAGAACAAGGAGCAATGGGCTCAATTTGCAGCAAGGACAGTTGAGGTTGGATATTAGGAAAAACTTTCTCCCTAGGAGGGTGGTGAAGCACTGGAAGAGGTGACTCATACAGGTGGTGTCATCTCTGTCCTCAGAGGTTTTGAAGACCCAGGTAGACAAAGCCTTGGCTGGGATGATGTAGTTGGGACTCGTCCTGCTTTGAGCAGGGAGTTGGACGAGATGTGACCTCCTGAGCTCCCTTCCAGCCCTCGTTGTTTATGAGTCTGTCAGCTTAATGTGAAGTTAGGCAATGCATCTATCTACTCTGCACACTGTAGGAATAACTGTATTCATGCTGGCGAGATCTAGGGATGGTAGAGGCTTTGTCCTACAGCTGTATAAAAACTCCCAGGTTATGAGACCACTTACATTAAGATTACATTGAGGACGCTGAGCCACTTCACAGCTGATTGTTAAAAGAACTTCAGCACAGCAAAATTGGAGAGTCTGAATTCTGAATGAAAATTGCAAATACATTAGTGTGTACTTATGTCCAAATGAGCATCTGAGCCCTTTCAGTTATATTTCTTCACATGATAACATCATTATAGCCTGAAGGACCATCAGAAATGTAGTTTCCTCATGGCTTTGTGTTGTTGATGTTATCTTTTGTCGGAGAATTGCCAAGTAAAGTAGTTAAATTCTGATTTTTGCAGATAAACTGTTTGCTTTGAAGTATCTGATTTGCTAGCTGTGGTCCCAGGGCAACCTATTAATTACTTGTGATCTCTAAGATTAATTATTTTAACAAGTTGTTTTAGCCCACTTGTATATTAGGCTTTGAAGAGGAGGTTTTTCCTTGCAACAAATTAGATTTTTCTCCTTGAATCAGTTACTGTCACTGTTCATAAATGCCAAAAGTTCCTTCCAGGATAACAATAGGGATTTAGTTCATTCCAGGATACAATATAATTTATTGTGTAAAAGATGCAGTGCTTTTTGCCAGCAATTGTTTTCCCTCCAGCAAGGTGTTGATGATCAGCTGAGGTAGGAATGCAAGCACCTTCCCTCTCTGCACTTTGCCTTTACTTGCTACATCCTTTTTATTCCCTGTTGTCGTGAATCACAAACTTTCTGATTATAGAAATGCTGGTGTGAGGTTGTGTGTGTGTGTGGGGGGGGGGAAGCTAAGAATGAGTGTATGTTATATTACTGTTTGTAGGTACCTGCCAATTCCTAGCTATTAACCACAGGGATGTAGTTTCCTTTGTTTCACTCCTCTTGCAGTTACATTCCTGAGATCATATTTAG